AATGATGACAAATAGGTAAAACTTCGGAATCGTTATAATGCATGAGACTGGATGTAAGGGTTTCCATCAACACTGCATTTATACAAATAATTATTTGCGTTAATTAATGTCTTCTAACTTCTCAATCAGGAACTTCCTGTCATTTTTCCCAAAATAGAACCTCATTTTCGGAACGGTCGAATCCTAGGAGGAAGAGGAATTTAGGAATTTTTCGCCGAAGAAATGATGCACGTTTTCAAAAATAAGTTATTCACAATAACAGTTAAAATATGTTTAATTTGAGAAGGTTAATGTTGGAGAATGCACGAAGGACAGTGGCACAATCGCTTGACTGTGTTGTGTTGTTGGCAGGGGGCGTCGGCGGGCGCCGTTAGCTTCGTGACGCCCACGCGCCGCCGCCGCCCGGCGCCGAAGGCGTCGCACCTCGCCGCGCCCGCGCCCGCGCCCGCGCCTGCCTCGCGGGACCCGCGATGTGAGTACGGCTCCTCCTCCTCCCCCTTCTGCACCGTTTCTCTTCCCTCTTCTTCTTATATTTTTCTCCTCGATTTCGTATTCCTTTGCTCCTTTTTTCACTTCATTTTTAGTCGCATCAACGACTGAAGTTATTTACAACTATAGTGACTTATAACAAGTGTTTACAGTCAACTATGATTCCATCAGTCTTTACATTAATAGAAGTACAATAGCATCACATATTATCTTACATAACATAATCATTCAGTATCATCAGGACAGGATCATAGCATATCAATTCGCGAGTTACATATCATTACACTAACATATGTATCATAATATATACATCATAGCCTAACATATCATCACACATTGTTTATCTTATATAATATAACCCTGCAGTGTCATCAGGGTACAATCGCAATATATCAGCTCGAGATTCATGAGCGGGCTTACCACATATTTCTAGTTTATTTCTGTTTTTTGCAAAATTTGACAGATTGCTTCTCAAAGGGAGTAGAGTACAGGATTTTCTCTATTTCATTTGGATTAAAATATATAGTTTTAATATGTTTATATTTGTGACAAGAAAAATTATATGTTGACTAATAGTCTTATTTAACTTTTTTCACATAGTGGTGGTGAGGTATTTTCCAGCAAGCACCTGTATGTAATTTTAGAATGACCAGTTCTAATTAGAGTAATTACAACTTGTTCACCTAGTCAACTTGGGGTCCACGTTGTGTGATAAGAATAAATCAATTGATTTGTGGCAATGACATCGCCATATCGGTTCGCTTTGCTGGATAATCTTCCTATGTATGATCTTATGACATCTTGCTTGGAATATCCCGCGTTAGGTCTTACAATATTTTCTTGAAAATCAATTACTATTTTTGTATTGCTTTCATTATTATGAATTTCAGTCATAAAAATTGGATAGTGCTGGTTAAGCAGAATATCCGATTTTTGCACGTGTGACAGTCTTGACAGCTTTATTGTCCTGGAATAATTTTGAGTAGATACTCCTTTTTTGTCCTCCTCCTCTCCTTCTTTTCTTTCTGTGAACATTTTTTTTATTTTCCCTTTCTTACTTATTACACGATTAATGGCAAATTGCGAGATTAAATGACTTACTGATGGTTTGTCTTGGTCTACCATGCCTTAATCACAAGATGTAAAAATTAATTCCTTGCAAGCATATAGGTATTGTGGTGAGTTATCGTTGGCATATCTAAATGAAATAATTATATGCGTATGGGAGAAAGTTGTTAATGAAATGTGTTCGCTTATTTATTTACTTATTTTATTTATTTACTTATTTTATTTATTTATTTATGTATTTATTATTTCCAGTAAATTACTGTACGAGGATCGTTTTTTGAGACCGAGGCCTCAAAATTCCAAGCTTAAAGATACTAGAACCCTTCAATATGTATTTTTTTACAAAACCTTGATAAAATTAAAATCAAAGTGCAACTCGTCATGTCCCAGTGCACTTCTCTTCCTTTAGATACCTCATTTATAAAGGCTAGATCTGTTTGAGTGCCGTAAAATTCATCTATACTAATGAAATAATACAGGAGAGCATTGTACGTCGGAGACAAAATTGATCAGCGTATGATATTCTTTCAGGGTAGTTGCTTTGCCGTCTGCCCCTTACCAAAAATGCTGACTGAGTTGTTGACTGAGTAGTTACCGGTTCGTGAGTGGGTGTTCGCGTTGCAGTCCTGTCGCTGTTCACGGTGGTGCAGTTCGCCAACCAGGGCTGCGCGGCGTCGTCGGGCGACAACGGGACCTGCCTCACGGCCTCCGAGTGCTCCGAGCGCGGCGGCGTCGCCTCGGGCACCTGCGCCGGCGGCTACGGCGTCTGCTGCGTCTGTGAGTCCAACGCGCGCGCACGCACGCGCACGCACGCGCACGCACGCGCACGCACGCGCACGCGCACGCACACGCACACGCACACGCACACGCACACGCACACGCACACGCACACGGCTTCGAGGGAGGCCGGAGATTGAACGGGAGGGGCTCGAGTTCACGGCCTCATGGATTTCACACTGCGAGCTATACAATTTCCTTATTGGAAATTATATGTTTGCAAAATATGGCTCTTTCCAACGCACTTCCCTCCACTGCAATGATCGTTCCAATTTGTTGCTTTCAGTTATGTAGTATTTCCTGTACTATAATTACAATGCACACACATTGATTATAAAATAATTCTTAATGAATCAAAAGATGCGTCCTATATTTTTTCGAGAAAGTACAATATACTTTGTGTTTTGGAAACAATAAGTTCAAACGAATTGAAGTCTGTATTGAACAAAATAATTTAAAATTCATTCCTTTGTGAATCATTCCATATTTAAGTGTATTCATGTCTATCCAATTATGACTAGAGCAAAAAATTTCGTTCAAACTAAGGAACAAGCTGAGTCGGTCCTACTCCCTTTACTCGTATAAAAACTAGCCAATTGTAACACCTTTACTCGTGTGAAAACTAGCCAATTGTAACAATTTCCTGAACTTAAGATTCAGTGATGGAAGGCAT